AAAAGTGTCTTCATGCTCATAATTTTATCACATTTTTTATTTGAGAGAAGAGGAGACATGCCTGGAAAGGTCAGAATAGGATGAGGGTATCTACTTTGTAATATATACTATGTCCGTCTCAGGAGCATAAAAAAAAATATTTAGACATAAAATGAGAAAATCCACAGAGGAATGTTTTTATATTTGCCTTAGGCCTTTATAAAGGTGGATGGTACCTAAAAGGTGATTTTGTTACATTTTATTTCTCTCTCTCCCTCTTTCCCTCTCTCTGTGTGTGTGTCATAGTGGACAGATGCATGTCCAAGGACAAGCTATGGGAATGGGTTCTTTCCTACTATGCGAATCCCAGGGATCAAATTTAGTCTGTAAGTGTAGACTGCAAGCACCGTTACCCCGAGTCATCTCAGCAGAAAAGCAGGGTTTGTTTTCGCTGTTAAATGCATATGAATGTTTGCCTGCATGTCTCTCTAGGCACCATGTGTGTGTCTCATGCCCTCAGAGGCAAGAGGACAGCGCTGAACCCCTTGTGAACTAGTTATCATGTAGGTATTTTGAACACAATCTGAGACTTGTGCAAGGGCAGCTAGGGTGCTTAACTTCTGAGCCATCTCTCCAGGCCCTGAAAGCAGTTCTTAATTCTCATGGTTTGTTTTTTTCTATTCTATTATGGATTATGTTTTTGGGTGTCTTCTAAAATTTTTGCTGAATTCAAAGTGACGAAGACTTATTTTTAGTGCCTTTCAGCTTTTACATTTAGGTCTGTGACCCATTTACGATGTATAAAACATATAGGTTTGAGAAAAGTGGCCGAGGATCATTGTTCTTAACAATATTCTTTAAAAAAAAAAAAGATTTATTATTTATACAGTATTCTGCCTTCATACCAGAAGTGGGCACCAGGTCTCATTATAGATGGTTGTGAGCCGCCATGTGGTTGATGGGAATTGAACTCGGGACCTTTGAAGAACAGCCAGTGTTCTTAACCTCTGCACCATCTCTCCAGCCCTCCCTCAACAATATTCATGAAAATCAACTGACTATATACTTGTGAATCTATGTCTGAACTACTCCATTAATATACAGGTCTATGCTTTTCTCAATACATTGTCTTGATTGATGTAGTAGATTGATGTAGTACATAATCTTGAAATTAAAGTAGTATATTTGAATAATTTTAAAAAATTATTTTGCTATTTTAGCCCCATCCCCCTTTTTTTCTCTTTGCAAAACTGGAGGTTGTTCAGAGATTTTTCATGGAAACTAGAGAGACAGTTCGGGGGTTAAGCACACTGGCTGCTCTTCCAGAGGACCCGAGTTCAATCTTCAGCACCCACAGGGGTGGTTCGCAGCTGCCTATAATTACAGTCCAGGGTATCTGATTCCTCTAAGCCTCCGTGGGTGCTGCCCTCGCACGCACAACCCCATACTCAGACATGCACATATATTCATATTTTTAAAAAGATTTTTCGGTAGATTTAGGCACTGGCAACAAAGAGAAAGGCACTTAGAAAAGTATATATCCAACTGTGTAATCGTCTTTATGTACCTTTATATATGGTTTTTGAAAATGTGCATTAGCATTATTTTAAATTTTTCCCCACAATGCTGAGGAACAAACTCAGGGTTGCATGCCTTCGTGCACACATTTTTGGTTTGGTTTGGTTTGGTTTTTGAGGCAGGCTCTCACTAAATAGCTCTGGCTGTCCTGAACCAGCTATGTAGACTAGGATGGCCTCAAACTCAGAGATTTACGTGCTTCTGACTCCTGAGTTCTGGGGCTAACGGTGTGCCACCACACCTGGTGATATTTTGCTTTCTTCTCTAGATTGAATTGTTGTACACTTGTTTACCAGGTAATGCAGTTATCCCAAATATCGGAGAACTGAATACTAGGGTTCAGCTGGAGTGTTATATTCAGTCTTGTAAATCGACAGAGAGAAAGCTCTCTTTTTTTCCCCGTCTTATCCTTACTTTTTCCTACAAGCGGCCAACTCCTCATACAGAACACTTCTTGAAATAAAACATGCTTCAATAGAAGTGATCGAAGTTATTCAGAGTATATATTTCCTCTGATCAAAATATAATTAATTTTTATTTACACCTAAAAGTCAATGGCCTAGTGGATAGTGACAAAGAAAACATTTAAAAATACATAAAGCTTTTTGAAGAAGCATCTAAAATGAGCTGGAGAGATGGCTAAGTGGCTAAGAGTGCACACTTCTCTTGCAGAGGGAGGACCTGCGTTGAGTTCCCAGCACACATATGGGGAACTGGCTACCCACGGGCAGCCTTGTAACTAGCTTGTAACTAGCTCAAGGGGGATCTGATGTCTCTGACTTCTGTAGCACCTTCACTACTGAACATACCCACACACATAAACATAACTAACAGCAAAATAAGTATTTTTGTTGTTGTTTTGAGTAGGTTGTGTGTGTGTGTGTGTGTGTGTATGTGTCTGTTTTTCCGTAGCCCTGGTTGTCTTGGAACTGGCTCTGCAGACTAGGCTAGTTTCCGCTGGGATTGTAGGCATGTGACATCATTCCTGGCTAAAAAGAAAATTAAAATTAAAAAAAAAAAAAAAAAGAAGCATCTAAAAGAAAAATGGGGCCAGGAATATAACTATGGTGGTACAGTACTTTAAAAATAATCAACACAAATTATGAAATATGGGGGGAAGTTGTGTGCAATCAGCCTGCTAGTGGTGGTGGTGCACACCTTTGATCCCAGAACTTGGGAGGAAGGAGCAGGCGAGGCAGATCTTTGAATTGGAGGCCACGCCTGTTCTTCAGAGCAAGTTCCAAGAAAGCCATGGCTACCTAGAGAAACCGTCTTCAAAAAGACAAAAACAAAACAAAACAAAACAAAAAAACAAAACAAAACCCTAAATCAACAAGCAAGCAGACAAACAAAAGAGGCTACATCTCAGCGAGGCAAGGTGGCTCACCCTTGTAATTCTAACACTCAGGAGGCTGAGAAACTGTCAAGAGCTGGAGACCAGACTGAACTTCATAGTGAGTTGCAGACCAGAGTGGGTTACAAAGTGTCAAAAAAGGCCAGTAAGTAAAAAGATTGGCAGGTATTTATCATTGGGTCAATTGGCTACAAAGTTGGGAAGACTAAAAACAAAGAACTTACAATATGAAAAGTTTATTCCAGGAGGATTAAGTAAGAATCTACATGTAAAACTAATCCTACGAGAGAATTAGTTATACAATACACTCATTTTTAAAATATTTATTTGTTTATTATGAATACAATGTCTGTCTGTATGTACACCTGCACGCCAGAAGGTAGCACCAGATCTCACTATAGATGGTTGTGAGCCACCATGTGGTTGCTGGGAACTGGACTCAGCACCTCTGGAAGAACAGCCAGTGCTCTTAACCTCTGAGCCATCTTCTCTAGCCCCTACAATAAGTTCATAATCTTAAAAAAAATATTATTTCTGGGGCAGGAGTGGTGACTGAGCAGGTAAGCGCATGTGCTGCTCTTGCAGAGGACCTGAGTTAGATTTTCAGCTCCCAGGTCGGATGGCTCACAACTTCCAAAGTCCAGCACCAGGGCGATCTGATACTCTGGCCTCTGAAGGCACTTTGGATCCAGCACACACACATGTAACTAAAAATTAAAAATAAATCTTAAGTTATTGCATGCGTGTGTATGATCTATAGAGGGGGGACGCATGCCAAGTGCATTTGTGGAGCTCAGAAGACAACTTTGTGGGGTTAGCCTTCTGTCTTCCATGAGTTTTGAGGAACGACTCAGGTTTGCGCAGCAAGCACCTTTCTTCCTTTTTCTCCCTTTTCTTTTGAAGATTTATCTTTTATTTATTATATATACAGTGTTCTGCTAGCTGCATTCCGGAAGAAGGCATGAGATGTCATTATTGATGGTTTTGAGCCACCATGTGGTTGCTGGGAATTGGACTGAGGACCTTGGAAAGAGCAGCCACTGCTCTTAATTCTTTGAGCCATCTTTCCAGCCCACAAACGCCTTTCTTAACTGGCAGAGCCTTCTCACTGGCTGTAATTTAATATCTTGGTGTTAATATCACTGGATTTAATATCTTGGTGTTGAGAAAATTCTCAGACTACATAAAAAAAAGAGACAATCACATGAAAAATTTCAACTTCTGCAGATTGAAACAAGTTAAAAGGCAAGTATCATATTGGGAAAAACACCCTAGACAAAAATCAGGTCAAGGAAACTTGACAAAGATACTATGTAGGAGTATTTAGGAACATTAAGTAACAGTCAGCAGCATACAGGAGATAGGCCATTTTCAGAGATAGGTAGGTGCCAGGGTTTGGAGAAATCTGTATTTTTTTTCCTTTTTAATTTGTTTTTGAAGACAAGGGCTCGGTCTATAGCCTAGGCTGTAGGGAACTCGCGATCCTCCTGCCTCAGTCTACAAGAGGGCTGGGATGACAGATGTGCGCCACGCCCAGCCACAACTGATTTTTTACCGGGACTGCATGCTACCTTTGCAATTAAAATTTTAGAAATTCCGACAAGGTGATTAGCTCCAAAGTACCTCACACTGTGTCCTGTAGGAGGCACGAATGCATGCTTCACCGAGGGGAGGAACTGGGGTTTTCTGCTTCTTTAAAGCCACGGGTCGAGTCCTTACGTGGACACTGCAGGCGTGGGAGAGGCTCGGTTCACGCCCCGAGCTTCCGGGCTGCACTCTCCTCCCTGTTCCGGACCCGATGCCAACTTCCCTAGCTCAGCCCTTCCGGCTAGTGTGACTGACTCGCAGGAATTCGTTTCTGGCGCCCGTGTCAGCGCAACTCCCGCACCCGCACGTCCGGGCCAGCAGGCGAAGGACACGCCCCAGCCTGGCCAGGCCCCGCCCCCTCCCGGCTCAGGCCCCGCCCCAGCGCGGCCCGGACACGCCCCCTCCCGGCTCAGGCCCCGCCACACCGCCGCCAGTGTTGTCATCACGTGGCCCTGGAGGGCCCTGACGTCACGCTGGGAGGGACTGCGCAGGCTCAGAAAAGGGGGCGGGGGGGCCCTCGACTTGTTGTGTTGCTGCCCGAGAGCCGGATACCGTCGTGCTGCGGCCGAGCCGCTCACCAAGTCTCCCGACCATGTCTCACCTAGTCGAGCCGCCGCCGCTCCTGCACAACAACAACAACAACTGCGAGGAAGGGGAGCAAACCCTGCCGCCGCCCGCCGGCCTCAACAGTGAGCGCGGGGCCGCGGGGCTCGGCGGAGGGATGGGGGAGGAGGAGCCGCTCGGCGGCCGCCGCGGCCGTGCGCGGGGGGCGGGAGCAGACGGCAGCTCATTGGTCGGGGCCGAGGATGCGCGTCTGACTGACGGCGGCGCGCTCCCGTCAGGAGCAGGCGCTCGGCTCCGGCTCGCGGCCTGCGCTCCGGGCGCCGAGCTTTTAGGGTCGCGGCGGGCTCCTCCGAGAAGGGGCGGCGCGCGCAGCTTGGAGCTGGCGGGCGGAGCGGGGCCGGGGACGTGCGGCGTGGACGCCCCGGGATGGACGCGGCCGGCCGGGCGTGGCGCGTGGACGTGCGGCCGCGCAGGTGTGCGTGCTTGGCTCGCCTGCTACCGCACGCAGGGCCGGGGCTCCGCCGAGTTTCGTGCTGGGTGCTCGCTCCGCCCCTGACGTTTACCTTTTTTTCTTTTGAGACAGTCTCATGTAGCCCAGGCTGGCCTCGAACTCACTGTGCAGCTGAGGAGGACCTCAGCTTACGCCTCCCCAGTTCTGGGATGACAGGCGTCAGCCACCGTAACGGTGGTTTTCACACAGTGCTGTTTCTTAGGTTTAGTGGATTGAGTGCCAGGCGCTTCCCCTCGGGTCACACCCCTCGCTAAGTCTTCGGGGGACTTCGGTGAAATACAGTGAACAACACAACAGACACAGGGCACAAGGTGTTGGGAGTTGAAAGTCGATGGTCCACATCGAGTTGCAGCCACGGAGACATCTTGTCCCCAGAGTGCCCCCTGTTGTTGTGAGATCGCCGGACCTTCTTGCCCAACTTTTGTGTATGTTTGTGTCTTAGTGGGGGTAGTCGGCATATGGTGAGTTGAAGTTCTTTAAAAACCATTTGGATGTTTAAAGGTCAGACTGTCTTTCACAAGTCGGCTTCCTTCCAGTGTGGCCAGAACAGTTTCATGAAGAGCTGTTGCCAAACCTACGGGGTGGCAAGAGCATTTGGGTATTTTAGCACATACCTGTCATTCCAGCACTGACAAAGGGGAGGCCAGCCTGGGCCCAGAGAGTAAGACTTTGTATCAGAAAACAACAAAAGCAAATAAATAACTCAGAATTTGGGTATTTTAAGACGCCCTGCCCCATATTTTATTAAGCAGTATATTTGATAACCTCTCTATATGCTGGCTTTTAAAAAGATTTAGTCAGGGTGTCCTAAAATGTGATCATATCACATAATACGGAATTTAAAATTTTTACCCATCTTTAGCATATATTTTTAGAAATGAGAAGACTAAAGAGACGCCTGCTCCATGTTATTCCCAGAAGCCATGGTCTGTCTTGAGTCCTCATGCTCTCAGGAGCCTTCTCTTGGCGTGGGCATGCTTATTTACATGTGTGTCTTCTGCATGGTCCCTGCTAAGTTAGTTGTGCTCAGTGCCTACTTGCTGCTAAGATATCTGGCCAGTGTGGGTTTGTGAACTACAAAGGGATTTCCATTTTCCTTGGAGTCTCGTTAACCACAGAAGAGAAAAGGGTTGAGGGTGATCCCAAAGTCCGACATAACCTGGCAGGTGTTTGTCGGGGGCTAGTCAGCTTTCACTTCTTGTTTTGGTGGCTCCTTATGGAAGTCGGTGAGCCCTCAGCCCGTGTGTGATACCAAATACTACTTTGGGAAATCTGCTAGTAGAAAGTATTGTGCTTGGGCTAAGCTGCACTTTTAAAAGTTACTAAAAAGCTGTTAGGTGATGCCAGGTTTAATTACTGTCCTTGCCTCTTGCTTTGTTTGTTTTTTAGAGCTCATTGCACAACCCTGGATTGAACAAAACAAGCCTTATTGATTCCTCCAAGTGACTTTTTTTTTTTTTTTTTCCAATGAACAAAACAACTTACTCAGGCACCTAATACTATCTGAATTGCTGATAAGTCCAAGCTCTCTGCTGTTCCACAGCTGTGGAGAGCAGGAGCTGAAACACATTCAGATTATCTCTAGTTCGGCATTTTTATCTTTAGTTCAAGGCTCACGGCAGAGGGCTTTGTTGATGTTATTTTAATTTCTTTTTTATTTTATGTGTATTCGTATGCTTGCATGCCTGGTGCCCATGGGGCCAAAACAGGAAGGCATCAGATCCCCTGGAACCAAAGTTACAGATAGTTGTAAGCCTCCATGACATGCTGGGAATCAAACCCAGGGCCTCTGGAAGACCTGATCTTAATTGTTGAGCCATTTCTCCAGCCCCACAGCAGAGTTTAATAACAGATTATTGAAATTATTTTTAACTATATCTATTTGTACCTGTGTCACGGTATGTCCACTTGAGGGCAGGTACCCATATAGGTACCCATAGATCCTTGGGACCTGAAGTCCAAGCAGATGTGGGTGCTGGGAATTGAATTCTGGTCTTCTTTAAGAGCAGTGTGTGCTCTTAACAGCTGACCCATCTCTCCAACCCAAATTTGGGATGTATTTGAAACAGTGAAACCTTTCTCCAAACCTGTTGTTGTAGAGGGACTGTTCAGTTTCATTACCAATGGGAGGGCAAATACCCAGCCTTCTCCCAACGTTAAAAGGATGTTTCCGGTTACCATTCTTAAAATTAAGAAACTGTTCAGTTCCTGAAGAGATGAGTGAGGTGCAGAAGATGCAGGAGTGGCATAAGGAAGATCAGAGTAGTAGCATAACCGTGGTGTAACTGCAGTTAATAGTTTGAAAACTTCACGGATGGTGCTTCTGCGGTCTGCACTGCTAAGCGGTTCAGGCACAAGTGACACAGGGGATGCTACTGCCTTGTCAATCATTAGTGTGTAGTGCCCACTGTGTAGAAGTGCCAGGACTGTTGGCAGGATTGATTATCTGGGATCTCAGCATCCAGCACCTGAAACAAGCAGACAGAAAGGCTCTTAGGACCCCCTAACTGTGCCAGTGACATGTGAGGCCCCGAAAAGTTGGGAAAATGAGAAATAAAGTTTCCTTTGATGTTTAAAAGGATTAAATTGTTGGTGAGACGCTTAGGGGCTGCAAACTGCAAGAGTGAGTGTGATGATCAGTTACTGGCCAAAACCTGTTAGGCTTTTCCCTAGCCATTCCAGAAGACATCAACTAGAACATAAGTCACCGTGTCTTTGTACAAACTAGCACAAAGGGTCAGCCTTCAACATGTAAACAGCCCTCTAACAGTAACAGTTTCAGCTCTTTCTTTAAAGCTTTCTTGTTAGGAAGAGAGCTGACTGGGAGGTGGCTTCCTCCAAGTATTTCTTGGATGACATGAAATTTTTGCCTTGTTTCCTTTCCAAGTAAGAGGGGACTTTGTGAGATTTGGCAGAGGTAGCAGCACAGGAAACCTGAGATGGTAAATGAGGGAGTTAGGTGTGGAGAGAAGCCGTGTGTCGTGTGTCTGTTTAAGACACAATCCTAGCACTGGGGAGGCTGAGGCTAGATGGTGGCCTAAGGTAACCCAGGCCGAATGAGTGAGGTCCTGCGCAGCCTTGTGAGGCTTGTGCTGAAAGACAGTGACAAAAGCAGTGAGCTCCACCCCACACACCTGTTTTTCAGAAGATAAAGCTAATGTTTTAGACTTTCTATTTCTGCTACCAATACCAGGTTACTTAGTTTTGTTTCAAGACAGGATCTCATTGTGCAGCGCAGGATGACCTTAAGCTTGTTGTAACCCTCTTGCCTCAGACTCCCATGGACCAAGATTACAGGTGTGAGCTACCATACCTGTCTAATAGGTTTCCCTGTGGCACTGAATGCTTCCATAGAGAATATTGCTGGGGTCGGGGAGATGGCTCCATCATTGAAGTGATTGCAAGTATGAGGATTTGAGTTCCCTAGAATCTACGTGAAGCCAGGCACAGTGGTCCTCCTGGCATCGGAGAGGCAGATGGGTAGATCCCTGGGGCTCCCTGGCCAGCCACCCTCACCTAATTATCAACTTCCAGGTCAGTGAGAGATCTTGTCTCAGAAAAGAAGGAGGATGGCTCTTGAACTCCTGAGGGTGATCTCTGGTCTCCATATACACATGTAGTTACACGAATGCACATGAACACATTCATAGACTATCTCCAAAAGACATTTGCTGAGCTAAAGATAATCTAGCCTTTTAAAGCCTTTGTTACATATTGTCAAATGACCTTTCAGAGTGTTCACTGCAGCCCTCTGTATAATAAGATATCGGGAATATATAGTCTTCTGGGTAATTGCTACCATTGTAATGGTTAGAGTATGGTGTGTCTGTGTAAAGAGTGGGATTTCAGGTAGCTGGAGAGAAAGAACTCAACGGTTAAGAGCACTGACTGCTCTTACAGAGGACTCAGGTTTGATTCCTAGCACACACGTAGTGGCAGTAACTGTTAGCTCCGGTTAAAGGGGATCTGACACCCTCTTCTGGCCTTCACAGGCAGCAGGCATGCATGTGGTGCACAGACATCGTGTAGGCCAAACAGCCAGGCGCATGAGCTTGTAAAAGAACTTTAAAAAAGGAGATTCAGGGTGTTGAAAAGAATGCACATACAAACACCAAAGGCCTTTCAGAGTCTAGGTAAACATCAGTCCTTAGTGTGGTGCTTCTCAGCCTTCCTAGCGCTTGAAGCCTTTAATGCAGTTCCTCATTTTGGTGACCCCCAACTATAAAATTATTTTGTTGCTACTTCATAACTCTAATTTTGCTACTGCTATACATCTAATGTGTGGCGTCTAAAAGGGTCTTGACCCACAGGTTGAGAACCACTGGTTTAGAGGCTAGTACAATGCCATTTGTTTATTTAAAAAATATTTTTTCTTTTGAAGCCAGCCTGATCTACAAAGTGGGTTCCAGGATGGCCAGAGGTATACAGAGAAACCCTGTCTTGAAAAACCAAAAATAAATAAATACTTTTTTCTTTATTTTTTTTTTTAATTTTTATGTACATTGGAATTGTGTTTGCATGTATGTCTGTGTGAGGGTGTCAGGTTTCCGGGAACTATGATTACAGACAGTTCTGAGCTGACATGTGGGTGCTGGGAATTGAACCCAGGTCTTTTGGAAGAGTAGCAGTGCTCTTTAACTGTTGAGCTGTCTCTCCAGCCCCAAGAAAACATTTCCTAAGGAGGAAAAAAAAAAGAAAAAAAAAAAAAACTTGGAGAAATTTCCATGTGAAACCATTTAAGTGATTTCCTCTGGAAGTAGGAATGGGAGCCAGGTGTGGTGTATGTTTCTTTAATCCCAGCACTCAAGATGTTGGACTTTGAGATATGCGTGGGTACATGGGACAATTTCCAGAAAATCAAAATCAAAGCTTGGGTTATAGACAGAGGTAGAGCACTTGTTTAATAGGCCGGTTGTACCTTTGTTCAGCGCCCCCACCCCCAGTACTACAAAAACCAGCAACAAAACTAGGCACTAGAAATAGGAGGAGAGAAGAATTAACTAGATTGGTTTTGTCTTTAAGATTAAAGAAAAAATTACGTATAAGTGGCTTGATTGCATTGCATGTATGTGCACAGTATGTGTGCTGGTACTCAAGGAGTCCAGAAAGGGAACATGGGATCCTCTGGAACTAGAGTTACAGATGGCTGTGAGCCTCCTTGTAGGTGCTGGGAAGTGAACCCAGGTCTTACGCAAGAGCAGCCAGTGCTGTTAACTGCTGAGCCATCTTTCCAGCTCTGATTTTTTTAAGTACTGACATTTCTGAGTTCAAGGAGCATACTTCTGTAATCTGGTGATTTTGAAGACATACAGAAATACTTAGCATCGTGACTGGCCTGTATGTGGCACTTCTCTTTGCTGATTTTCTATGTGCTTTATTCTTGCCATCCTAGTAACTCTGAAATGGATATAGCTGTTATCCCTATTTACAGATGAGAAAACTGAGGCACAGAGGCTAAGGCACCTGTCCAGGTCTAAGCTGTCAGCATTAGCACAGGGTGTGGCTTCAGTTTGCACTGCTAATTGTGGTGCTGCTGTATGCCAACAAGACATTCTGCCTTACAGTGGGAATGGGGCAGTGTGCTCCAGGCTGTTGGCCATGACAGGGCTCACCTTTAAGCTGTCTTCTCAAGTTCCTAATGTTAGGGTAGTGGCTGTATATGTTTAATGCAGAAATTAGTTTGCATTGATGGCTTGGCAGTCCTTTAGACAAGTGAGGAGCGGAAATCCAGGCACTCTGGGCACCGTTCTCCTTCGATCAGGTTCTCCAAGCACGTGTTGATTGTCTGAGGACCTGTCTAGGGCCCTGGGACCTCACTGCTCCTTCCAGAGCAGCCTGGGCATTGCTGGGTTTGTTTATTTTGCACATAGGGCTGTCTGCAAGAACCAATCCCATTGTTTTTAACAGACATTTAAAAATCCTGAAAGCAGTGGGAGTAGGGGAAAAGATTGTTTATTCTCTCTGTCCCTCCTAGAAATTTTACAGAGTTCTAAATTTAGACGTGCTCTGGCACATTTGTATCTACTCCAGGAGCACTCTGAATATTTAATTAAACTCTCCTGTGCTAGATCTCTCTTATCGATACTGGTTTTATGTGCTCATCCATGCCCATCTTCACGTAGGTGTAGAATGAGGCCATGTGCTATTGTGTGTCTCTGTTGTTTGGAATTAATTGGTGATTTCAAGACTGCGGTTGGCGGGGGTTAGAGAGGGGAGCTGCCTTTGATGGAGAGGACAGGCTAACTGTTTAGCAACAGATAAAAACTCCTTAGCGTGTAAGTGAGCATCTGCTGTTTGCTGGCAGTTTATGTCACTGTAGTTCGTTCTGGCAGCTCTGGAAAGTAGGAACCGTTTGTCACCAGCTCTGTTCAACTGTGAGACTGGGAACAGGAGGGGTTAAGTGTTGGGAGTCCCCTTCCACCAAATGAGTTTGTCTCTCAGGTGAGCTCACCCTCCTGCTGGATCTGGTGTCATTGTCTCTTTTGGGTGAATTTTAGGGTTTGAGGAGGCCTTTGATTCTGACTCATCTGCTAAGGATTTAGAGATTCAGCCCTGCTGACATTTTGGGTTACATTTTGGAGGTTGTGGGGTTTTGGTTTGGGGAGATTTTGTTTGTTTTTCCATTTTCTTTGGGGTAGGACTTTAACCTGTAGCCCAGGCTAGTTTTGAACTCACTCCTTAGACTCCTGAGCACAGGTGTGAGTATTGTACCTGGCTGTTGGTCACATTTCTCAAAGCAGAGTATTGTATATAGGGTATGTCTTGTGTGTGAAGTTGATTAATTGGCTACTGTCACCAATTCCTATTACATTTTAAGAACCTTAATCACTCAGCTTATTGGACCAATAAAAATTTTCAAGACCGTGCAGATTAAAAGGTCCATCCCCTTTTCTTGTGGTCCCACCCTCTTCAACTATTTGCCCCAAACTTTTCTGCTTGAAGCCTATCTATAGTGGATTCTCCCTCCTCTACACCCTCAGGACTTAATGAAAGCACTAGAAAGTAGAGGTCCTGGGAAAGAAAAGGGAAGGAACGACTTGACAAGGTAAGTTCAGTGTGGGAGAGAAGACTTGACAGAGCGTGGCACAGAGCAGAGGGAGACAGACATCCATGGAATGGAGCCAGCGCTCTCCCACCCCTCAGTTTTTTATTTCATGTGGCTTTATTAAAGACCAGCTGCATTACTGCATGCTCTGGGTTTGGGAACAGCTGAGAGCTTTGTGAGTACATTGAGGTTTCTACTCTAGGAGCTTGTCAGTCTGTGTTAGGTAGTACATGGTTGTCATGCTGTTAAGATGAAGTGTATGATGTTGCTGAGTAGTTTGTTGGCACATGCACCAAAGTAAAGAGCCAAGGAATCCGGTGGCATACATGGCAAATATGTGCCTGTGTGTGTGTGTGTAAGTGTAACTGGAATGTTGAGGTAACACCTGTCTACTAAAGGAAGAGGTGTACAGGCTTTGAAGAACATCCTGAATTTTCACCAAAGCTTTGATTGGACATAATTAAGCCTTAACGAGAAAGAAAAGTGGCTGGAAAGCACATCTTCTGTAGTTTCGGATTTCTGCCTTCCGAGTGGCTTTGCTGTGTGACTTCCTTTGGGAGTTAGAACAACATGGATTCTGACTTTCTCTATGTTTATTTCTTCAGAATATTTTGGGTTCAGTTTGAGGCAAGTCAGAATTCTTATCTGAACTTAGCATATGGACATCTGTGTGCGCAGGAGGGATTTCAGCCCTGCTGTGGTTATGACCTATTATCTGGCCTGTCCAACAGGTTCCTGGGTGGAGCTACCCATGAACAGCAGCAATGGCAATGATAATGGTAATGGGAAGAATGGGGGCTTGGAGCACGTCCCGTCCTCATCTTCCATCCACAATGGAGACATGGAGAAGATCCTTCTGGATGCACAGCATGAGTCAGGACAGAGCAGCTCAAGAGGTAGTTCTCACTGTGACAGGTAAGTGAAGGCCCTGTGAGTTAAGTTAGGAGTTGAGTGATGTGAAACTAATCTCATGAGGGAAAAGCTCATCTGCTTAAAGATTAACAGAATAGGCCTCTGGATTTATCGTAGCATACATGTTTAAACCCGGCCAGGCATGGTGGTGACATCTTTAATCTCCACACTTGTGAGGCAGAGGCAGTCTGTGAGTTGGAGGTAGCCTGATCTGTATCTTGTGTTCCAGGCTAGTCAGGGCTGTATGGTGAGACCTTGTCTCAAGAAAAGTAAATTAAATTAAATTAAATTAAAAACTGAATAGCTAATGGGTAGCCACCCGAATTTTCCCTGTTGCCCGCCTCCATTGTCATTTATATTCTCAGATTGAATTATTTTTTATGTTTATCAAAAATAATAATAGCAGGCTAGCAAGATGGTTACGTTGATAAAGGCACTTGCTGTCGAGCTTGGTCACGTGTGTTTCATCCTGGATCCCACAGGGTGGAAGGAGAGAACTGACTTCCTTAAATTGGCCTGTAGCACACCCACGTGCACACCCACACATGGATCTGTACACTCAAACTAAATGCAGGAAGAAGACTGAGCATGTTTAAAAATGGAAGCAGCAGGGTAGGTTATGTCTGGAGGAGGAGGTGTGGATGTTTATCAGCAGTTTTGTATTTCATCTGTGGTATGTGGTTAATATTTGAGAAAAAGAAAAGAGTTAAATCACACCTGACCTCCCTAGGCGCCTTATGACCAGGTTCTGGAGGACAGGTTGGTTGGCTGTTTGGCACAGTGAGCACCCTGCCACCTCTGTGTCATCTCTGCTTTGTTGCCATATCTCCTGTCACAAGCAGAAGTGAGCACATGTTTCATTTTGAGCAGTTGCCATCAGTTTTGGAAGGTGCAGCACTGATTTGCTCTTTAGAGGTTTTGTTTGTTTGTTTTGAGACAGGTTTTCTACATAGCCCTGGCTCTCCTAGAACTCACTATGTAGACCCGGCTGGCCTTGAACTCACAGAGCTCTGCCTATCTCTGCCTCCCCAGTACTGGGATTAAACGTACATGCCATTACGCCCAGCCAGAATAAAGTTTTATATCCAGGGACTTGCTGAAGGTCTTTCTAGAGCTTTCTATTTTGGTTTCTGGAGCTTCCCGCCCTCTGTAGCTGGTTTTTGTACATGTGTATGCATGAGTCTGATCATTGATACCATGTGTCCATGAGCCTGTTCACAGGCTGCAGAGAAGTCACTTGCTGTTAGGCATCCTGTTTAGCTTATGATGGCAGTGATGTGTGTGATGGACTGTGGATTATCTTCCCAGCATCAGCTTAGTTCAGGTTCCTGAGTGTGAAGGGGAATGGCAAAGGGGCTCCCTGGCCAGCTAGTCCTGCTAAGACAGTGGGTTCCAGGTCCAGTTAGAGATGCTACCTTACAAAATAAGATGGAGAACAATAGAGGAAAGTAGTGAGAGTCACTTTCAGCTTCTACAAATACATGCACCTGTACACAGCTGCGCATACATATGTATGCCTAACACATATAGCACACACTGTAACTGTGCCTTCAAGATTTGTGCCATTTAACTTTTGTGTAATTGAAGTTATTAGAAGTGTTTCTTATGGACCTACAGTGTAGGTGGAAGAGTTCTTAGGATTATTGGACATTAGCCTCAGCTGACATACATTTTTCCTTTTATCCTCCCTTTTCCCCTTTTTTTCTCTTCTTGGTACTAGGAACTGAACCCAGTGGCTCTAGCATGCTGGACATGGGCTGCTCTGCCGCTCTGCATCCCTAGATCTTTTGTGACTCTCTGGTTTGGGAGCTGCCCTGCCGAGTTGCACAGGCTGGCTTTAAACTTTCTCTGTAGCCTGGGCAGGCATTGAATTTGAAAATTCCCTACCCTAGAGTCGAAAATAACTGGGATTCTAGGCCTCCACCATTGGGCCTACCCCGTTTTACAGATGTTTTGTTTAAAAGTTATTCCATGCCAAGTGTGGTGGTACACATTTTAATCCCATAACTTTAGAGACAGAGGCAGGTGGATCTCTTGAGTCCTAGGACAGCCACTGTAGTGGTAGTTAGAAGATGTCCCAGCATGCCTTGCTTTGTCTTCTGTCTTGCCGTCCCAGGCAGTTTCTAAAAGCCTAGCGTGGACCCATCCTCAGAGCTCCTCCTTTGGCTGTCCCTGCAGGACAAGCACATCACTGTGGTTTGAGAGGAGCTGGGCTCCAAGCCTGATGGCATTCTGAATCCTCAGGTGTGAAGGGAGTATTTCTTTAGCAAGATTGGTGTCAACAGTACGAAGTACAGAGGGAAAACAGCACTTCCTTGGGCTTATACGGACTTGTCACTTTGATTGTTGAGTTTGGTCATAGTTGTATGAGGCTAGCCCTTGATACCATAGTGTTACCAACACAAAGATGATAAACTGAAGACAGAAATTCCTTGTCCTGTGTGTATTCTATGCTACAACTTCTGAAGCGTGACAAGATTGTTGAAGAAAAAAGTTTTATAAGTTTAAGTGCTGCATGTTTGATGTTCACCTTGTTCTGTTTCCATTTAAGAACACTTTTGAAAAAAGTGTTTTAATTATTGTATGTTTGTGCCGCATTTGCGCACATGTGCATCACAGTGTGTTGTGTGTAGGTTAGAGGCAAGTTTTTGCCTTTCTGTAGGTTCTAGGAATCAAGCGCAGATTGCCAGGCAAACAACTTTACCCACTGAGCCATGTCACTGATCCGTATATAATTCCTTCTCACTAAAAGAGAACTGTTTCGAGACCAAGGCCTAAAGCTGGGAGATTGAAAAATAGCAGTTGTTTACAGTTTTGCAGACCTCTTCGGTAGGGGACACCGAATTCTCATCTACCTGTGCATTCAGTCTGTGGTGGTGTCACTCACTGTCTTAAGGTTTCTGTGCTGTGTGGGGAGCACCATGCCTAAGAACAGCTTGAGGAAAGGGTTTGGTTCATCTTTCAGCTTATAGTTCACAACCCAGGAAAGTGATGGCAGGAACTCAAGGTGTTCTGGTGCACCCAGGACCAGCAGCCCAGGGACGTTGCTCACAGTGAGCTCTCCCATGTCAATCATCAATCAAGAAAATTCACCATAGGCTTGTCCACAGGCAAGTCTTGGGGCATTTTCTCAATTGAGATCCCCTCTCGCAAAAAAACTCTAGCTGTGTCAGATTGACATAAAACTGGCCAACACCTGTATTGTGAAGCCTTTGAAGGCTGTAGTATATACTCTCACAAGAGGGTGGCAGTGAAAAGGACAAGTCCTGACAGGACAATGAAAGCAGTTCCTGCCTCACAGAAGCCTATAAAGAAACTGACAAATGCTGAGGAGTTCTGTGTGCACAACAGTGTTGAGAGAAAGTGTTGTGAGGTAACTCCATCAGACAACACACATGGACCCTCTTAACGCCAAGTGGAAAGTTTGTCTTGCTGGCCAGCAGCTGCACAGAAAGCTAGTCTCAATCATGTAGCCTGAGTCTCACCGGTCTTTGTCTTTGATGCACAGAACCCACACCGTGGTTGTTACACTTCAGTTAGCAAGCAGTGAAACTGTGGAAGCCAAAAAAAGTAAAGTTAGTACATCTAGGGACTTTTCTTGGATCCTGGAATTATGGATTAGGTTTTTGATGGATTAAGTTTGTCTTCCTGTTTTGATGGGAGTTGGGGCCTATGTGCCAGGTTTTGAGGTCCAAATAATGCCTCCAGCATGGCATCAGTTGTGCTAAGGTCTGGGGACTTGTTACAGAGGAACTCATGCTGTTTGGGTTTTGAAGATCACTTCACCTTCGTTGGACAGCAGTGAAGAAAGTGTGATGCTCCCACATCATCAGGCCATATTTTTCTCTGTGGCTTTGTTACTGTGAAGGCATCATTACTACTGCAAAGTCAGCATTCTGCAAGATTACTCCATTGCATTCGCTATGCCCTCTCATGTACGCTTTGCTTACTTGGTGTTAGATAGCCTTTCAGATTTGTTCCTGTTTCAAGTCTCTCTTTCAGTAACTTCCAGTTTTCTGTTTTCTAACAAAGTCTTAAGCTGTGACAAGAATTAAATCTACTGAGTAAGACTAGAGCTAGATGGCTCATCTGGTAAAGGCAGTTGCTGCCAAGTCTAGTGACCTGAGTTCAATTACCAGGAACCCACATAGTGGGAGGGAACACTAGACTGTTGTCTCCGACCTTCACACATACAACAGAAAATAAGTGAAGCCTCACACAGAGACATGCATGTTCAGAAAAATAACTAAAGTATAAAAAACAAACAAAAACTAATGACTGAATTTTCTCTCTCCTAGCCCTTCACCACAAGAAGATGGGCAGATCATGTTTGATGTTGAGATGCATACCAGCAGGGACCACAGCTCTCAGGTACATGTGTATTTTACTTTGATTTGGAAAACGCACAAGAGTCTGTCATGTTCGTTGGCTGAAATATGGAGCTGGGCCCCAAGCCTGATTGCATTCTGAAGCCTCAGGAGTGAGCAGTTTTCCACTGGAGTGTTTCTCTCGCAAGATTGGTATCCACGGCACAGAGGAAAACTTTGTGAGCTCATGGACCTGTCACTGTCAGTTGGGCCTGCTCACAGTTGCAGAAGGCTGGCCTTTGTTGTGTTGCTTTGTTACCAGAAAGCATAGAGACAGGGAATGGAAGACAGGTGTTTGAAAGTTACTGGTGGCTGAGTGAGGCCTACAGACACCTTGCCTGTGGTGTTCTTCCACTGTGTGGGCCCCTGGCTAGGCTGTGTGTCTGGAACTGGTACTATCACTTTAGTCTTCTGTAGGAAGACACAGCTTCTCCACACCTCACTGCTCCACGTTTTGCTATTTTCTGATGTTGGAAAATCCATGCACTTAACACTGGCTTACTTGAGCTCACTTCAGCTGCTCACATGCTGAAACTTGGAACACCAGTTTACTCTGTGATGTACGTTATTGTATAAAAAAACTTGGTGCTAATTGACTGAAATGTTTACATCTCTGGCTGGTGTGTGTGAGTTTGGCCACATGCAGGATGCTGTAACTGGTGTGGAAAAAGCACAAGAAGGTCATGGCAAAAGGCATCCCCAGGACAGAAGAGAAGAGAGAGCTGATGTTCTGCTGTAGGTGTTCTTCAGTCTGTTTGCTCTTTTGTTCAGACATTTCCCTAAGAGCGCCTTCCAGAGTACTGCTCAGTTGGGAAGTTCCATAAACTTATTCTGGATTCAAATCAGTAGCAGTCCTGAAGTCTCTGCTGATGAGGAGTCATGTCAGGTTGTGCAGAGCCCAAAGAAAGGACACCAGCTCAAGCCAAGTCTTCCCCAGTGTATTTTGTCTTTAGATCCCAGTCCTTCTCCTTCCATGGGCACATCCTAGCCAGTCCTACCTCATGGGAAGATGGCTGTGTGGCCAGGCACATGTGGTCACTGAGAATTTAATTGCAGTTTTAGGGCTGAATGCAGCCATCATAAAAATGAAAAGAAATCTGTGAAATTCAAGAGAGCAAGTTTGTGAGATTCTGACAGGTTGTCAGTGAGATTAGCCTTAAGCAAGGGAAAAGCCATGCTAATGGACAGGCCAGCAGGGTCAACATCAGTTTTGGCAAAGGTAGTATAAAGCCTGTAAAGACAATGTTGGGTCTGTTACATAAGAATTTTCAAATAAGGGAGGTGTATTAGTAGATGCTTTATAGTCCCTTTTTAAAATTGAAGAAGCAATTGAAAAATTAAACTGGGGATTAGGAAAATGCTATTTCACAAATAAGAAAGTTTGATGTTAGTTAAGAGCAGTTGACTGAGGCTGTCCCTTTTCTTTATGTGCCTATGAGGAGTAGGTGAGGTGTCATGTTCCACCTTTGTCCAGGGAAGTGAGGAAAGACAATAGTGCTTACCAGTAGGTGCTAGCTGCTAAGTTATGTAAACAAAACAAAACCCCACAAACGTCACACTTTAGCACTGCAGTGTTCTCAGTGTGAGGATAATGTTATTCTACTGGGTAGATGGGGAGAAAGACACTTTTGTCCTCATACAGTTATCACCTAAGATGGCAATGCAAGTCAGTGTTGGAGTCAGGACTGAAAGCAAGTCAGCCTATGATCCAGTCCCTTCACTGAAACTAACCTCTGAAGGGAGTAAGTCCCAGGAGAGCTAGCTGGACATGCAAGTGAACTGACAGGTCTGCAGAACCCCAGTGTGGGGATTCCTGAGCAGGCACAGCTAAGGGCAGAGTGTTCTTCTTACTGATAGGATGATGGCACTCAGGAGGCTCCCTTGTGTAGCAAGAAGCATACAGTCTCATGAGACACTTTTTTTTTTTAGGGTGGGTCTAGCGTGGGCTTTGGAAATAGCCTTTTTCTGTCTTGTGAGGCAGTGGTTTATCGCGTGTCATCTGTATATGGATACAGGCATGCAGTTTAATATTCCTGTTTAGAGACCCTAAGAGAACAGGAGGAGGTGGGCCAGAGAATGAAAAATTAAATGGGTATAAGGACCAACCCCCACCTCCCAGGACTGTCTGAGGTGGTCAGGATCTTTGAGTGGAAGCACATGTTGAGGGAAGAGCAAAGCATGGGTCCTGTGTAGTTAGATGAGGTGCCCTTTTGCCATTTTCTTTAATCACAGGAAGATAATTCAAAACCTCAAAATGAACTAAGCGTGAGGTTAAGGTCTGTTGTAGTTTCTGGGTTTGGGAGGCTGAGAATAATGAGATCTGAAGGGCAGCCTAGACTCTAAAGTAAGTTTGAGGCCAGCCTGGTAAGGCTGTATCACCGTCCCTCTTCAAAACTCTCAGATTGGCAAATTTAAGATAATAAAGCAAATGCAGAGACATTATGAACATTAAAGTTTAGGGTTAGAAATGTGCCTGTAGATAAAAACAAGTATATGAATACAAAGATAATTTTGCTTCATTTCCCTGGAGGAAATCTCATCATCTTGAAAAAACTCAGAATACAAATGTCACTGTTTACTCTGGAAAGAATAAAATAGTACTAACAAACAAACAAACCCAAACTAAGCTAGCGAGCAGTTAGGAGTTCTGGGAGGCCAAACCAGGACCTGAGCAGAGTGCACTGCTGAATGGCTGAGTATAGTAAAAGCCTTTGCCTAGCATGTGGGAAGATCTGGACTTAGGTCTCCAGCATTGCTGAAACCAAACCAAAAGAAGGAGAGGGCCAGTGAGACAGCCTAACTGCCTGAATTCACCTCCCATTGGAGCCCCAGCACCCTCATGGTGGAAGGAGAAAATCAGCTTCTGCAGGTTGGCCTCTGGCTTCTACACGTGTGCTCTGACACATGGACCACCCCCACAAATAAACATAAACGAAACGTAAAAACAAAGGAATGACTGACAGGAGGCAGCAGACTCAGAAATGGGGTGTACACACGCTGCTCAGTGCCTGCAGCGTGACTACTGATTGGCTTCTGCCTGAGGATGACTTCAGGGTTACTCCACAGAGCCAGCTCATGATTCTGAGTAAGCTCGGTGCCTGCTAGGAAAAGCTCTGTCCTAAATGCTGCATTGTGTTATTCAGTGGAATTTGCTAACTTCAGCACAATTAGATAAGGACCATGCTGACAAAGGGACGCAAACATTCCCTGAGCTTTGGCCTGGATTTGGTAGTAAAGGGTGTTATGTGTGGAGCCGGGCTCAAGCTCCTTTCTAGACAGCTGAGTCACCAGGGGCTGGAGCTGTGGGGAAGTGTCATGTGCACTGCCTTCCTCCCTGGGTAATACTTCCCCAGGGGCTTCATCCATGGTTCTTTTGACCTGTCAGTCAAAATCGGAGTTTTCAGTGGTTTGGGACTCTGGTGCACAGCTTCACATTCCTTAAAACTGAGTAAATACAACTAATGTGTCATTTTTAAGAATTTATCATCTCCTTGGTTTCTGTTAAAAGAGAGTTTGTGAGGCATGGTATCTTAAGTCTGTAATCCCAGCACTTGGGAGGTCAAAGGCCAGCCTGGGCCACATAGTGAATTCCAGGTCAGTCTAGGCTACAGAATAAAACACTTTCTAAAAGAAACAAAAACAAGAAAAAGCTTGTGGAAGTTAAGGTTTTTTTTTTTTTTTGTTTTTTTTTTTTTTTTTTTTTTTTTGTTTTTTTTTTTTGTCTGAAAGCTTAGGTTATCACTAGCAATAAAAATAATATTTTTCACTTATTAAAATTAGATGTTAACTTCTGACTGACTTTAAAATAGATTATTCCCTCCAAAACCTGACTAATATAGTTTTAGAGTCTTGAGACTCTAATAGTATGGTCAAATAGTAATTCCTCTTTAAAAAAATAATCTTTCAGAGAGTAAGAAACCTGACTCTTCTGAGTGGGGCCCTTAGGGGCAATTTGCCTGGGTTAGAGAGCAGTGGCCTCTACCTTTAGTTGCAAGGCCCTCAGCAAGTCACACTAGTGCTGTCCTCATATGCAGAACCGAGTGCTGCAGTTTGTGTTTGGAATTGACAAGTAAAGATTACTGAGTGTGAGCAGCTTTAGTAGACTCTGGTCTCAGTGGTCAGCAGCATCATGATTTACCACATTTCTCTGCCAGATTTCTCATCAATTTATTTTATTTCCACTTCTCTTTTGCTGTTTTCTCTTTATTTTTTCTAGTTCTGAAACATTTAAATGCAATTACAAATCTGTACAGTATAGGAAATATGAAGTGCCTCCTCAGGTTCAACAGCACCAGCTCCACAGCGCTGCAGAGAGCTTTTCCAAGGCTACAGTCTGTCCTGCAGTGTAGCCTCTGTTTGGCTCACTCCTTCTTCTGAGATGCTCTTAGGTCAGCTTTGAGCCCTTTCAGAAAATAAGTTGTTTTCTTACATAAAAATTACCAACCTGGGTTGGTTTGATCCTAGCACTCAGAGAAGCAGAGGCAGGCAGAGTGCTGTAAGGCCAGCCTGGTCTACAAATTGAGTCCAGGACAGCCAAGGCTACACAGAGAAATCCTGTCTTGTAAAACAAAACAAACAAATGAATTACCAATGCACAACTGTTTAGTTTGTATTAAAAAGAATTGGTCTTTCTTTTCTGTTTTTCTTGTTTTTTCTTGCTCCTCCTCTCACTGTTTGAATTCTTTTTAGTCAGAGGAAGAAGTTGTAGAAGGAGAGAAAGAAGTTGAGGCTTTGAAGAAAAGTGCAGACTGGGTGTCAGACTGGTCCAGTAGACCTGAAAACATCCCACCCAAGTAAGTTACTGCATGTGCCCTGGCAGCGTGCTGTGTGTGCTGGCATGCAGGGGTGTGCGGGCCCAGGTATCTGCAGTGCTGTGGTCTGACGCCAGCCTCTGAACTTCTTCTCCAGAGAGTTCCATTTCAGACACCCTAAACGCTCTGTGTCTCTGAGCATGAGGAAGAGTGGAGCCATGAAGAAAGGGGGCATTTTCTCTGCAGAGTTCCTGAAGGTCTTCATCCCATCTCTCTTCCTTTCTCACGTGTTGGCTTTGGGTCTTGGGTAAGTACCTTGATGAAGCCTGTGTGACTTAATGGTAATGGCAGCAAGGTGACCAAAAGAAAAAAGCTGTGCTGCCTCCTTCTCTGGGTAATACTTCCCAATTGGACTCATCCATGATTATTTTTCTTTTTTTGAGTCATTTAAAATTTGCCTAATTGTGAATGATCTATAAATTATTGAATATAAATGTAGGAGTAAATGCAAAATGATTTCCCCCCAGATGGTAAAACACACCATTGTGGAGGATGAGTCTCGAACACACTGGTAGGCTGCTTTGGGTACTGTCTTTGTCTTTTAACTTTGTGGCATTGATTCAAAACTCAGCCTTGAATATACCTTAATTCACTAACTTGCAGTGTGTCTTTTCAATTAATAGCTTTCCCCTCTTGATTTTATTATTTAAGAAAACACACTTCTGAAAGATTTAAGTTTGTAAGTATTAGCTTAATTTTTCAAGACCTACCTGCTGTACGCTGAGCATCCCCAGTGGGTCATTTTCTGTGTCTGATGCATGGAAAGTGGACCTTTTTTGATCTTGCTGTGAGTGGCTCCGCCTAGCAGAGGGAAGTATCTACTCCAGATCATGGGCCGGTGTGCATCTCTCACAGTCTCTCCTGGGTAGAGGATTTGCCCCACAAGACTGGGCCAGTATTTACAGGCAGCAGAGTGGGAGGCGCCTGTGGAGGAAGTAGGGTGGGAGCAGTGTGGAGTTTGGGAGGACTCTTACTTAATACCTGCCAGCTAATCAGTTAATTTACCTTCAAAAGCTGGTTTTGGGGTCTTGCAGTATTTCTTGCTTTCATGAATTTTAAGCTGTTTTTATTGCCTTACTTAAGTTTAACTCTTGCTACAGGTGAATGTTTTTGAAGATTCTGCTGCTTGTTTTCCTTGGCCGCCTTTGCTTTTGCTTTTGAAGGGTCATGTTCTTGCCTGGTATGGAAAGTTGTGTTAGGTCATCTTACAAACACTGGCTCTGTGACTGTCTTTCTAGATCTGAAATAGCAATGGAACATTTATCTAAAAAGAAACAGTTGGGAGCTGAGGAAGGTGCGCTGCTTTGGGATTTGAAGGGGGCTCTTTTTCCTAGCTTGATCTGGTCTCAACATCACTGCCCTTGTGCTTTCCAGTCCTGACTTAAAGAGCAAACAGAATCCCATAAGACCATTTGGGCTAAGCTAGTCAGTGGACTGTAGCTCAGTTGGAGGATGCTTGTCTAACAAGTAGGAAGAAGATGAGCGGTGGCTCAGGGAGTCTGGAAAACATGCACTGAGGCTTTCAGAGCTGTTTCCCAGCTGTCAGTAGATCACCCTGTGGGCCAGGCTGGTATAATTGTGGAAATAGATGGAACATGATGCACTCTGCTTCCTTTCAGCATCTATATTGGAAAACGACTGAGCACACCTTCTGCCAGCACCTACTGAGAGAAACGAAAAGCCCTGGAAACTCGCGTGGCCTGTGAAGTGGTGTATTGTAGTTTGAATTTGAGACCTATTGTAAGCATGATCACCTACAACCCTATTTTTACATACCCAATTCCAGTAACTCTCAAATCCAGTATTTTGCTCAAACTCTGTTGAGGCATTTACTAACCTTGTTCCCTTTTTTGGCCTGTAAGATACTTTAGAGATTCCTAACAGAGTTTACTGTTGTTTAGAAATTTGCAAGGGCTTTTTCTCAGCAGTGCCACCAGCAGATTATAACCCTGTCAACAGTGCATCTCTTCTTAGTACCACCACAGTCACACCTGTGTCACTCATGCTAGAAGCTGTATTCTAGCCATGCAGCGACCTCTCTTTCTAAGTGAGATCAGGTTTGCAAACAGTACTATAAAAGCTTTGTTTAGTCTTTGTTTTGTTTTCCAGGACAAAAACAAGCTTCTAAGCTTGAATTTATAGTAATTAAAAAGAAAACAAAACCAAAAAAAAAAAAAAAAAAAAAAGAAAAAGGAAAAAAAAAAAAAAAGTCAAGACACAAGGGAAAAAATATCCTGGGCAATAAAAATTACTTTAAACCAGCTTTGGAGCCGCTCTTTCCTAAGCCTCCTGTACCGCCTTCATTTGTAGGAGGCAGCCTGTATGAGTGACAGATAGGAAGTAGAAGAATAGGACATACTGGCAGATTCTAACATTAGTATGTTGCAATGCTGTCTTTTCTATGATAGAGAATCTTATTTCTAAGGAACTCAGGCCTCAGGCCTAGACATACATGAAACTGCTTTTGAGATTTTTGTGCATTTGGTATTGTCATGTGTTACCTGCATGTATAATTTCTCGTGATTTTCTTTAACTTGTTTTTCTGGTTTCTTTCTTTCTGTTTTTTTTTTTTTTTTTTTTCTTAGAAGAGACTTGAAATGAGTCTGATTCATGGTGTTAATAGAGGCTTCTTGTTTTAGGAAGCCTTGAGTGCACTCTGAAGCCTTTACATTCTGGAGAATAACTTCAGAGTTATCCCAAGCACTTGTGTAATTTTGAAAAGCAGACCTGGGTTGTGAGAACAGTTGAAAAGTTCTGGAAGATGCCATTCATTCTCTTTGGTCCCTTCCTGTTGTCAGCTTCAGTCTTCCCAAGGTGTGCCTAGGCTCTCCCAGGCCTCTGTGATGTTTTCACGTAGTTGTCTTCTCAGTTCTGTCAAATGCCTGATGTTCTGTAATACTCAGAAAATTCTTTGAATGGCAGACTTTCTTTTGTCTGTTTCTAAAATGTGAAGCATTAGGACCAAATTGTTAGCATCAGGATTGCAGATTATCTCAAGTAGATTTTGTTGGATTTCAGAACATAGCACGACTCTGAAGGATTCTGTTTTATATATAAATAATTACTGTTTATGATGTAGATTTGCTATAGTTATACAGAACCATTGTGAATTTTAAAGCTAGCAACCTACACAGTGCACCAGGTTGACTTGAATAAATATGGCAACCGGGTTTGCCAGTGTGCAGAAACTAAGTCCTCTCTCACATAAAGAGTTATAAGATTGTGTGTTATATGAAAGTGGAAAGTAAATAGATAGGAAGACATTTCTGTGATTTTTCAAAAACATAGCTGTTATCTTTAAGAAAGATAATATATCCAAAGTAATTTTTTGTGACTTATTTTCTTTCTGGCATCTAATGTCTAAATGATTTGTGGGCATCTTTTGCCCTTTTCTTTTCTGGCTCTTAAACCTGGTGACACTTAATTTGCCTTCTCACCTATTTATTGCAAGTGTTTTTATTTGGATTTCTTTAGAAGGAAAGTAAATCTGATGGCCTATTGTTTTGTTGTTGCTTTGGGAAGCCTGAATCAAATTGGCCAGGCTGGGGAGGCTAAACTGCAGCATACTTTGCAATGCTGATCGTGTGCTAGCAGAGCAGAGTTACTCTACTCTAAGCAGTCTTGCAGGCAGACGTCACCACCTTCTAAATCAGTAGCAGTTTTGTCAGCAGTGCCATTGAAGTGTAGGGATAATTATGATTTTGTTTCAACATTAAAACTAAATTCAGTTTTGCCATTTTTGAAAGTATCAGATCACGGAACAGTACAACTGTCCATCCGTGAACTTGTGTGGTGTTGATTTGCAGCCCGATGTACGGGATATTTATGCTCCTATGCAGATTCTTGTTGAATGAAAATAGACTGTCCTATCACAAAGCAGAATCCAACCAAGAGTTCAAATTTGATATACTGTTTAAAAAGCTTTATTCCTGTTTACAATTTGGGATGAAAAGCAGGCTTCGTTTTAAGTTGGTTGAAAACTGGCTCAGATGTTTGTAAGTCAAGAGGAAAGCGGCACAGAGAGCAGCGCAACTGAGTTACTCGATTGCAGTAAAGAGTAAAATGGAGACTCGGCCCATGATACGAATCTCACATGAACCAGTTGTTGGAACTCCTGGCATTAATGGAGCCAGAGTGATATGCATCCTTCATCCGTCTCGTCAGCACTTGTGTCATTCCTTACAGTTTACAAAACACATGTAACTTGTAGCTATAAACATTTTGTGCCATTAAAGCTCTCACAAAACTTGCTTGTTGTATATCATTTTGACATCACCCTTGTTGCCTGAAAAGCCTTCTTGTGTTTGTGTGCAACCCTTCCCATGGAGAGCTTACCAGGACCAGAGTTTTGAACTATGCCAAGTGCTGCTTCCCAAGCCTTGCTGTTGGGGGTTTTGCTTTCAAGTGGTGGTAGTGAGTGAAATGATAGCATGTGATCATTTGGTTGTTTTTGTAATAGGATTGGGGGACTATCAGTCCAATTACAAAATCCAAGGGTTGCCTGGCCTGACATTAAACTTTGGGAATGTAGAACCGGAGATGTAACTCACTGGGAGAGTGTTTGCCTGTCCTCTAGAGTCCTGGATTCAGCCCATAGCACTTCCTCATCCCTACCCACATGAGTATGGGACTCTGATTAAAATTTTAACCTGAAATGATGTGGAGTTGCACAAAGCTTAGTGTACAGTGCAGTGTAGAGAATCAGATTTTGTGTTGGTCAGTATCTCTTCAAGTTACCTGCACTGCCTTCAAAGACATCTGCCTGCTGGGGACTCTCATTCCTGAGTACTGTGGCAGGTGTTAATTAGTAACAGTGATAAGTGGCTTCATGGCTGATGGAACTGGGGCCCAGCCCAGTTAATTAACTGGGAGTTAATTAACTCCCAGTCACTAGTGGCAGGATGGCATACAGGAAAGGACTAGGGGTCACGACTCAAAGGCAGTCTTCAGTGATCCACTTTGGCAGCTCAGGCTTCACTTACAGAGCAGAGCTGCCAGCTGGGGACCAACCATTCATTCCCTGAGCCTATAGGGCCACTTCGCATTCAAACTGTTAAGCTCATATCACATCAGTCACAGAGTTGGAATGCCAACTCAAAGCAGAAACTTTTCAGCCACGAGCCTCTTAAGAGCAAGCATCTGACTCAAGTTTTCCTAGAGCAGCCCTGAAGTAGCATTCATATTTAGGAGAATCACACTCAACAAAATGTGACTGTAGTAATGTAGATTCTACAGCACACAGCCAGCAGCCCTGATGGCTTTGCGGTCACATGGCAGTGACTGTGTCCACTTCATTCCCCTGTCTCCAGGAGGCTGTACTGGCCACGGCTGGTGCAAAGAGATCTGGAGCTTCAAGGTGTTCATTGGGGCATCACTAGGTTCGGCACTATGAAGAAATTTTGGGCGAAAAACATAAATGTTTCAGCTGTTTTTCCAGCTTGATCGTCATCTTCTTTGGTAATTGTCATACTGTTCTGCCAAAGGAGACAACCTTTTGGGGGACGGAATTCAGGGTTAAAAAAGTTGGAAGAAATGGCTACTGGCTTCTTACACATGGCCACTAGCAGTTAACAGGTTAATGAGCTGACTCCATTACAAGTGAGAGGAGCAGAGGGAGTGCAGAAACTAAGATGGAGCACCACCATGAATCAGACACAGGTTTTTGCTCATGAAGATTTATGTATTTAAGGGTGTGTGTGAGGTCTGAGCCTGGAGGCTGGGAAAGGGCATGGTGGCCTTTACGATTCCACATAACCTTTTGGGACAAGGTCTCTCCCTGTACCTAGGAATTAGATGTATTTGCTTGCGTAGGCCAGAAGCCAGCGAGTTCTTGGAGATCTGTTCTCTGCCTTTAGAGCTGTGTGAGATCCCTGGCTAAGTTATAGGGTCTGAACTCTAGTCTTTACGGTTACACTGCAAGCTCACTACCATTGAGCCATTTCTTCAGCCTCTTTCCATTCTTTAGTCACGACAATACCCCAAAATCATTCAATATCTTTTTGAAAGGAAAAACAGCAATTTTGAAAATCATATTCTAAAGCAACAACAAAGAACACAAATTTGATACTAAAAGGATAAGGAATGATGATAGGAGGTTATTGAAAGTCTTTATTTTCCATAAAGCAGCAAACTTTGCGTGTACAGTAAATTCACTGCTGTTTGTAACATGCATTAGTCTTGAGTCTGAGCTAAAGTGCTTCAGGCAGCAGCTCTTTGACAGGTGGCCCAATGGTGTGCTCAGTGATACTGTATGCATTGTGTATTCAGAACCAAGGCTTAGGTGAAGTTGAGCAAAGCAATACAGGAGCACTGCCAGAAACATCTTAGATTCATTGTGGGCTTGATTTTGAATTAATCTATGGTGAATTCAGAAATCTGTGAGTTCTTACCAAATTTTTAACAACTCAAACGTTGTTTATATGTCCACTTCCTGTCTGCATGCGTCCTCACCAGCATCTGTGGTCATTGGTTTTAGCCGGTCTGACTCGATTGAGATGGATGCTCCAGCTAAAGTTTAATTTGCGTTACTCCAGTGGTTAAGGATGTTGGACACTTGTTCAGACAGTTACTGGTCATCTGTGTTTCTTCCCTTAAAAATTGTTTACTCAGCCTATTTGTTGGTTAGGTAGTAGTGTTAATTTTTTGGAGTCCTTAATATATTCTAGATAACAACCCCCTGGCATAGGTTTTCTCCCATTCTGTAGGCCATCTTCGCTCTACTAATCATCTCCTTGGCTGTGCAGAAGTTCTTTCAGTTCTTGAGGTTTCTTCCTGTATTGTTTAAGAGTCCTTTCTGGCAAGTTCTTGACTGTGCCTGTGCTCTGTGTATGCTTCCTTTCACATCTCACAGTAAGGTCTTTGATCTGTATTAAAGTAATATTTGTGCCCTGTGAGAGACACAGATTGAGTTTCATTATTTTACATATGAATGAATATCCAGCTTTCCTAGCACCATTTTTTGAAGATCTCTCTTTTCCCACATTTGTTTCTGATGTCTTGCTAAAGGTTAAGTGGCTGAAGCTAGGTAGGTTTGTGTGTTTGTTGAGACTTACATTGTCATCTGTTGTAGGATGTTCCGTAGGCTGCTTAGAGAATGTTTTTCATAATTGTTGAGTGTGACAACTTGTGAATATGTTAGGTCCATGTGATCTTTGGTGCAATTTAACTCAGATGTTTGTTGATACTTACTTTGGATGACCTATCCATTGATGAGCCTGGGATTTTGAAGTACCACTGTGATTTCAGGACTGACGTGACCTTTTATACCCACTTGTACATATTTTATGAAATTGGGAGCCCCAGCACCTGGTGTGTATCTGTTTATAATTGTTATATCTTGGTGAAATTTTCTTCTGGCTAATTTTGGTTTGAAATCCGCATAACAAGATGTCAGAAAAGATACATTCACTCACTTTGGGGTTTTATTTGGTAAGTTGATTTCCATCCTGTGATGGTCAGTCTGTGTCTTTGCTAGTGAGGTGTGTTTCTTAGAGACAGCCAATAGGTGGACCTTGCTTTTCAGCCTTCAGATGAAGGCACTGTCTTCATCTCTAGACAAGTTGAGCCACCATTTACACTGAAGGTTATTGTTGAGAAATGTTTCCTGATTGCTTTGATTTTCTTGTTTGTTTTTCCAGTTGGTTGGGTTTAGTATTTTGTTTTTCTTTTCTTTCTCCCTGATAATTTTAGGAGTTTGATGGTTTATTGGGTTAGACGTAATGGCAAGTTCTCCTTTGCTATTTGTCCATCTCAAGAACTTGTGCTTGCCTTGACACGTGTGTATTTTTATGTCAGTTAAAAAGATAGTCTCATGTAGTTACAATTAATAGCTTTGCTGGTTGGATATTACAGCGTTGGCTGATAGTTAACGACTTTTGAGGCTTGAACCATTGTTCCATGCTTTCTGATTTTTATAGTTTCTGATTAGAAATCTAGTTTTAAGCCAGGCGTGACGGCGCACACCTTTGATCCCAGGACTCAGAGAGGTAGAGGCAGGTGGGTTCCTGTGAGTTCGAGGCCAGCTTGGTCTACAAAGTGAGTTCAGGACAGCCTGGACTACACAGAGAAATCCTGTCTCGAAAAAAACAAAAAGAGAGAAGGAAAAAAAAAATTGGTGTTATATTTTCTCTTCTCTGAATTGATGTTTTTCTCTGGCAGCTCTTAATATTGTTGGAGCAGGTTTCTGGGTCCTTGAAAATTGGAGACTGCCAGTTAGATATGCAAGGAGGAGAGAAGGAAGTTGATCTTACAGGCTTTCACCTTTCCCGTGGTTTTTGGCAGTGCTGAGCCTTCACTGGACTGGCGGCGTCCCTTGGTTGCCAGAGCTGTCTTTCACTTCAGTAGCCTCCCTTCTATCAGACTCTGTCCTGAAACTCTCCAGATCTTACCGCTGGGGTCCCTGATGTGAGAGTGAAAGGGTTCTTTCAAGTTTTTTAGAGTGGGGAAAAGTAGTGAGAATCTTGTGATACTGGCCTTCCTGCTGGAGGGGTCAGCTGGAGTTTCCGAGGTGGCAGACTCCACAGGTTGGTCCTGCTGGCCTTGAGCTCAGGTGGTCAGAACCCAGGTTATTCTGAGCTGATGGAGTCTGTTCCCCAGCAGCGCTGAGATCAAGGCCACCTCCTCTTCTTCACTGCCCTGAGCCGAACCTCTTGCCGTTTGCATTTGGTGTCTTGTCAGTGTCTTGCCCTGCATTCTCCACACACCTGCGGCCCAGGCTGTTTCACCCAACAGCTATGACAGGCCAGATTCCATCTCCCTGACCTGTGGTTGTTCCTTGTTCCAGGCCCCCAGGCTAAATCAGTTTTAAATAGCAGGCTCCCTCTCCAAGTGGTTCCTGGCTGTAGAATGAGGTGCCTTTTCTCTTGCCGACCCATTGGCCAGAGGAATCACTATCTTGCCAAAACCTATAACAGGACCTGCCAGTGGACTGCTAGGCTCTTCACCAGGGCTGCCTGGCTTTCCTTTTGGATGAAGCTTCTGCTTCTCCCCTGCCAGGAAGCCATTCTGGAGTTGGGCTTGGCTTCCTTTTGGCTCACCCAGCTTTTTCACTGCTCAGCTGTTCTGGCGCTACTTTTGTGATTTCCCAGTTTTCCCTTCTTTTCGAATAGTCTGTTTTCATTCATTATAACTCTTTACTAGGTCCTACGGAGGCAGCTTCCAGTCCACTGTTTTACCTAGATAGTCCACGTTTTTATTATCAACTTTATCTGTGTTCTCTCTCTCTCTCTCTTTCTCTCTGTCTCTGTCTCT